CCCTGCCTCTCCGTGCCCACTCCCACCCCCGCGCAGGCGGGTTCTTTTACAGGCTCCGGCTCTCGCTGGGCTTCTGCTGTCCGTGGTTTCCCGCTTCGGTCTGTCTCCTGTGGATTTGCTCCGAGAACAGGACTCTGGTCAGGAGAGGGGCCGGAAAGGACGTGGAGCGGGACCAAAGCTCCCCCGCTGCTTGCTAAGCACACAAGGGGCTGACCCGCAGGGCTTGGTATCGCCCGCCCGGCCCCTCGGAAGAGGTGTCTCTCGTGCTTTGCTCTCTCGCACACACACGGACCCAAGCCGCTGCAGGCAATACGGGTCCCGAAGCCTCTTGCCCATGGCTCCCCCATCCAAGGAGTTTGCAGCCCGGGAGCCGTGCTCAGCCGCTAGATCTGAGCTTGCAGATCCAGAGCCTTGAAAATTGGCTCCAATGGCCAGAGAGCCTCTGCAGGTCATCAAACGATGGGCCGCGGCCCAGCACTGGGGGTGGGATGTCGGGCGCTGGGTCTCATTCCTGCAGGGGGGCCAGGAGAGCAGCAGGGGGTCTAAGGCAGCTCCCTGCCTGGCCTGGCCCCACAGACTGCCCCCCAGAAGTGCCTGGCAGCAGGGCCGGCTCCTTGGTGGGGGGAGGGTGTACACCCGGGTCCAACGCGAGTAACAGCGTCCCCTGCGCAGCGCCACTGGCAGAGGAGCCGGAGTGGAGTTTGCAGGGGCCGGGGGATATGGGCAAGAGCAACCCAAGGAAGAGGGGACCCGTGCAAATGAGGCTCAGCAAACCAGGGTGGAAGTGGCTCCTTGACAGCAGTGGCTGTGGCAAGGAGGGTGTCAGGAGAAGGGAAATGGCCTTTGCCGGGCGTTAACCGGCTCAGAGCCACATTCAGCCCCAAGTTGGCAGCACCGGCTTGGCAAATGGACTGTTCAGCTGTCCCCCTTTGCCGTCCGGCTCCGAAATGCTTTTCTAGAGCCCTAGGCCAAGACCAGTCACTCTGCCAGAGGTACAGCCGGCCGAGTCCAGAGTCACTCCGCCAGAGGTTCAGCCGGCCGAGGCCAGAGTCACTCAGCCAGC